TCCCCTTCTTGGACGGGGACATGCGGAACCTGGGGGACAACGCGCTCACACATATTGGGGACTGGATAAGGTCTCACTGGGGAGACTCAGTCCAACTCCTCAGCAGTGATGACGAAGAAGTTCAACCAGAACAAGACCGTCCTGCACAACCAGCAACCGACGTGGACGAGGGGAACCAGAACCTGAGGGGGACCCCCTACGCAGACGAGGGAGCAGAAGAGACGCTCATGGACATGGCAAGTGGGGCGGCCAGTTCGACTGCTCCGTTTACACGATCAGCCGCACCGAGACCTGAAGGGAACAATAAAACATTCCCAAGTGAGCCCAGGGCCCGTAGAAGACGTGCCTTCACAAGCCCAAGTTCGCTCGGCAATGATGACTAAGGCTAACTCGCACTGGGGGCTTCCTGTTTGTAATGTCAGCGAGCGAGGGTGAGGGGAAGTGCAACTCACGGCACCTTGTCCCGGAAGCCATCAGGTCGTTATGCAGTAGGATTTGCTCTTAGTAGGTGTTGGCTGTGGATGGTGTTGCACCCCCCTAATGAGGGACAAGAGGCCATAGCTGGGAGAGAAAGTTCGCAAAACCGAACGGGGGGCTGAGCCTCCACAAACGAAGGCAGGGGGCCAACCAACAAGTCAGTGCTGTTTCTGATGCTGTTTTGGTGCTGTCATGGGGCCTCCCAACAACACGGAATACCTAACAAGTTCCGGAAAGAGTAGAGGCTTCGGGGGTGGGAAGGTGTCAGGTAGTGCTGCCGTGAAGGTTCAGTTCGGTGTCAGGTGGGGAGGCAGGTAGGTTGGTTTAATCCGGTAGAGTGCTGTGAGCATGCGGGGGCCGGTGAGTGAACCTTGTTGTTAGGTGCCTTGCAGTGTTCATGTTCCAGTTAGGCTGGAAGTAACTTTTTGGGGACAGGCACCCAAGTAGATCACCACAGAGTGGAGCTCGAGTGGTGATGCAGCGTTGAACGCAGAGTGGAGGACCCAGGTGAACACAGAGAAGGGGTTTCACGGTCAGGGCCTTAGGAGGGGTGTTCTTCCGGGGGGGTTTTAACTGTGATCACCTGGAGGGAACACTTCTGCAAGCCCCAAAAGGGGGAACGACAGACGCGAACCGTTGTGGGGTTGGCCTTCGGGCCGGGGGTTTTGGCCCCAGACCCCTAGCAAGCAAGCAAGCAAGCAAGCAAGCAAGCAAGAGAGAGAGAGAGGGAGAGAGAGAGAGAGCGAGAGACATGAGCACTCAATATCAACATTGTGTGGTTGGGCGGGCCGATGGCCTGAGGGTCACGATGTGAACCCTAACCGCAAATTCCGGGGGACCATACTGATTCGCATCGTGCGAGTAGGCCAACCACCTAGTTCCAAGTGCCCTCATGCTGCAGTTCTGTTTCGTCTTTTCTGACATGTGATCCTTTCTGCGGGGGACCCCAGTGCATGACAACCCTCATATAGTTGATTGCTGGTTCTGGGAGTTACATCTTTTTGAACCATGTCTACTATGTCTACTGCAACTTTACTAGTAGCTAAGTTCCTGTCCTCCGAAAAAGGGGAAGGCTGCAATTCGTGCTCGTGACTTCCAAAAGCTGAGGATCGTGGGAGTCCGCCATGTCACATATATGATGTCAATCTAACTCTCCTGATGCTTCAGCCAAGCTTTCACGCCCTTCCGAAGCCCCAGAAATATGGGGGCGTCCTGGTGGCAGGGGGACCTTGCAGACTGCGGGTGGGCCTGTGGCCCGAGAAGCCTTTTACATGCTCCCATGTCACGCCCGGGAGAGAGAATGAAGAGAGAGTGAGAGACACTGAGAGTTAGAAAAAGGAGGCACAGGGGTTTGGGAGTCGCCTCATGGTAGTGGAGAGTAGTATGACAGGAGCACAACTTACGGACTTGTACAAACAGATGCTAGGTTCATTCAGCTCTCACAGCAGACTGACGCAAGAAAGCTGCTTACCGCCTGACACGTGAGGTTACCACCCCGAGACTAACAAGTGCCAGTTCTGGTCGATTCTGGTCAGCGAACATAGAAACCATTTCGCTCCTTTCACCCTGGGAGGTCTCCAAGCAACGCTTTGACGAAATGGAGGAAAAGGGTAGAGAGACGACGAAGCGCCTGGAGATGGCCAGGGGCCCGAGCTTTTTTGATAAGGCGTTCAAAAAGAATCATGTTTTTTCTCATGGGGCATCTTCCAGCCCTTCTGCTTGCACAGGGTGAGCTCATTCATCTGCAGTAACAGTACCTTGTTCTTGGTGAGTGATAGAACTCGTCATACGCTTATTAGCAGCTTTCCGGCGAACACAATCAGTACCACGCCGGAGTTGAAAAAGCCATTGCTTTGATGTTAACTGTTAACAGTCTTGCCGCAAAGGCACGAGAAGAATTACATGGGCTTCGTGCAGAGGCCGAACCTGAGCCAAAGATTCTGTCGGACCCTGCAAATGACTTCAATATCAGAATAAGGCACTCAAGGGTGGAGGGAGCGTAGCATTACCACAGAGGCCTACCCAGAGTCTTGTATGGGTCTTCATCCGAGTGCTGTCGCTGTTGAGAGTGCCGCAAGTCAAGGCCGTCGTACAAAGGTACGTGCTAGAAGCCTTAGGAGTTTGCTCGTTGGCCTGCCAATCGTGTTTCCAGCCCTGTGCTTGTATCAGGCATGTTTAATACAAACCTTCAATCAAGGTTGCACAGAATGGCACGGCGCAGGATGGCGAGTCTCCTGTGCGTTCCACTGTAGAGGATGCGCGGCCCTCGAATAGTATATACACTGTCCTAGCAAGGCCTAGACGAGATGCAGCCACTCCCTCGACTCCACGTGGCCAAAACCCGGTATGGGAAAGCAACGGTTTGAGAGCCGAGTAGCTCTCATGAAGTCATTCCTGCCCTGCGGTGCTGAGACAGTGTCATGGTGCTTGGTGCCTAGTAACTAGTATTGCTTTGACGAGTTTGTTGTTAGTCTACTTCTTCTAGCTGCTATTGTTCTGAGCAATGTGTGACTACTTCCGGAACTTTCGGAGTGGTGTTCTGCCTACTTAGTTTCATTTCTGCGTTGGGTATTCTCATTTGCTCATTCTTGTTTGCATGGTCAGTGTTTAAATGAAGTTGCAATACTTAAAGTCTTTTTGCCTGCTAGTTATGCCAGTTCTAGCGTCTAGAGTATAAACTAACGGCCAGTTGTCACCCTGAACTTAGGCAAAGGCCATCCTTGCGCAGAAGACAGCGAAGCTAAACCAGCAGACGCTTCAGGCGAGCTGCAGCTGCTGTTGCTGCGACTTGTTCTAACCAATCTCATGCTGCTGCTCTTATTCCGGGGCAGGCCCCGCGCTATGCAATGACAATGTAATCCGCATTCGGTAACTGGCAGACAAGTCGAGCGCAAAGAGCTTGCAAACTTGTCGCTCCCAGCCTCTGCAGGTTGAGAAGCTCGAAAAGGCCGATGGGTTTTGGAATCTAGGATTGATAAATTGATAAGGTTCAGGTTTATTATGGTTTAGGACAGATGCATAGCCTAGGTCTGAAAGGGCATGTGGTGTCTCCTTGAAATAAGCCGTGGTTGTCCTCAAGCTCCCAAAGCCTGAACGAGGTGCATAGCCAAGCCTAAGCGGCCGCTACGCGAGCCAGTCTGAAACTCCCAAGATTTGTTGGGAGATTCGTAGCCCACATAGTCACAGAGAGCCTGTAAAGTTAAGATGCAGATGAAAAGAGCCTTTGGACTCTGGACAATCCAGAGTTAGGCGCGCCTGAGCGGTTTTTCTACGGCTTGGTCTACTGTTTTCGTGCTAGGCCTGGAGGCCTTAGGCCGGAGGTCAGTCTCCCGCCGCCACGGACTGTAGGAAGAACATCCAGAGACGATTCGTTGACCACATGCGAAGGACTCAGCGGAACATGCAGAGCCCCCGAGAACATACCCAACATCCTCAAGACATCAAGTGTTTGGACTCTTAGAGGTTTGCGGGCGGTATTGGGGATTTCTGCACTTCCTGCAGAGCAGCCAGCAGGCTGGCAAAGCTTGTGCTCCTAAAGTCCAACGGGCGAATCAGGCTTTCGTCGGTGGTTCTCGGAGGCTTCAGGTCGCTTCATGCCAGGAGCTCCAAGACAACCGCGAGCAGCTGGAGAAGCAGAGTTTGAGGCTCGTTTGATGGATTAAGGGGTGGCTGTTTGATTGATGTTGCGATGATTCATTGGCAGCAGGCGGTCGAGGTTTTTTAAGGCGACCTCGATTTGAACCTACGGCCGAGTCGCGATCAGAGTTTCACAACTCGTGTCAAGTGCCTGCGTTCCCTGTCGTCACACATGGGAGGATGGCGGAAGTCCATGCAGAGGCGACGGAATTTGAGATGAAGAGCAAGTGCCTTGCCGAGCCCTCGGCATATGGGTCTAGCGAGGAATAGTGGTTCAGTATTAGTTTGAGAATGTATCTCATGTTAGAAAGCTTTGAGAAGGAAACAGGACCCGACATGAATCGTCGGGCAAAAAACAGGTGCGGCAGTTCAATCGGCACTCAACATGGCTAGAGTTGCGAATCTTGCAAAGCCGCAAACGACAATTTGCCGCCGTGAGATGGAACTGTGCTGAAACGGTCCCAAGGGATTCGAAGATTGGGTAGCGGGCCCCACAGGGTTTGACAGGTGGCGCCTGGAAGGCAGAAGCAGTCTGTCGCTGCAAGAGTTGGAAGAGTTTTCTGACACGGCCCCGAGGATGAGCGGAAACTGCAGCTGCAGCAGGACCTCGAAGACAAGCCCGGAGCTGAGAAGCCAAACTTGATTGGATCGGGCGGCTGGGGTTTCCTTCGGTGCATCGGATGTGGTTTCTTCGGAGCTCAGAGAAACATGGCTTCATTCCACAAGTGGAAAGGTCTAGCTATCCGAAACTCTATGCCTTTACTACCTCTACGCTTAGTTGCCCTTTAAGTTCGATCATATTAAACAAGAGGACACTTTCGCCTCGGTGATCCGGGCAGCAAGACAACAGCCTGAACAGCGTGGCGCAGTGGTGCGCACATTCCCACCGTCTGGCTCCACTTGGGAACTACTAAGAGTTATGCTGTGTCATGCTTATCACAGGCTCATCAAACACTTACAGGTAGACTTGTACAAATACAATGAGACATAAATAGCAGGCAGGAGCAGGCGTACCAATGTTCCTGATGTTCCGAGGGTTGGGGGGTAGGAGATGGAGAAAGACGGAGACACAGACAGAGACAAAGAGAGAGAGTGAGAGCTTTCGGCAGCAAAAGCCAGACAGCAAAAGAAGATTCGGCAAGGACATTGCCGTTGATTGCACACGTACCTCGGGGCCCTGTCGGTCGGCCGGCAGAAGCCCAGGATCCGTTCGAGTTGTTAAATAGGTTAGATATGATATCAGATCAGGAACCTGTCAAGCCCGGTCAAGCAGATTCGCGGCTCGGCGTTGTACGGGCCGTGCAAGCTCAAATTATCGGACTCTGCATGCTCAAAGGCGTCTGCTCGTCCAGCAGTCACTGGCAGAGAAGGCCGGGAGTGAGTTGAGTTGGAGGGAGTTCGGGCTACATTGCGTCGGCACTGCAAATCCCCAATATGATATGGTTGAAGACGAATGTTAGCGGTTGCTTGGTCCAGTCCCCGGTGCCATCACTGCAGCCGATAGCAGCAGCAGCAGCAGCAGCAGCAGTCGCCCTGTTCGATTCGGCATCAGCAGAAGGTGTGGTCGATTGTGGCGTATGCAAGAGCGAATAACAGAATCGACCACATGTCATGAGTGGGACCAGAATCAGGACGAGCAGCAGCGCAGGTTGGCAGCGACCTCGACAGTCATCATTGAATTTCGTTGGCTTTGCTCGGGCAGTCTGGATGGGTCTGCGGGGTCTTTGAGAGCAACTTCAAACATCACACCGGGCTTCCGATTCGAGCTAATGCCACAGGCTTTGGCCGGACAGTTTGGCTCGACAGATGCTAGGCTGCTAGGTACAGTGTCTTGGAAATGACGGCATCTGATTCAAGGGCCCTTGAGGCCCTTGAGGTCTTGCAGTAAGTGCGAATGCGGGACTTTGAGAGAAGTAGCGAATCATCTGCTTGAACTTGCCCACTTACTTGCGGGTCACGCATGGGGTTGATCAGAATTTGCCAGGACGCCAGGAGGCACGAGGACTCAAAATTGGTGGAACCAAAAGGTTTCGATTCATGTAGCAGTGTAGCATGTAGCATTTCGTCGGGGCCGATTTCGTGAAGTGCTTGCAACCTGAGCCGCGACAAGAAACGCTCCGAGAGGGTGCCACAGCCTGATGACTGCGGCTTACAGGGATCAGATGATCAATGAAGGTCCGATCTGTGCCTGAACTTAGAATAACGTCTAGCCGCCCAGCCCACATCCCTCCTCAAACATTGCTTGGCAGTGCTGCCACAGCCGAACCCATTTGTCAGACCCTTACCGACTTGTCGTCTGAGGAAGGATCCCTCTAAGCAGAACTAACCTGCGTCTTGGCATCCCCCATGGCCGCGCCTGTGAATGCCTGGTCGCAGTATCCAGCCTTTGCACGATGGACTCCAGAGGTGCAGAGGTGCGAAGGCTTAAGATGTGTTCGGATTCTGGTCTGGAGTTGAAGAAGCTTCGTGCACAATTTCTAGTTTACAGTTGGTGCATGCAGCTTTGCCATCCATAGCTTCCCGAAGCAGCCGGCTGAATTCGACAAGCCGATGCTCACGTTTGTTAAATCTGCCCTCAAAGATGCAGTTGAGGACAACCTTAGGCACCGGATGTTGAGGAGGGCAAACCCATCGACAGCTCCGGTTTGAGTTCAATCGTGGCAATCTTGCCTTCCGGAAAGCTGATGAAAACTGACGAAAGCCTTGCAGGGCTGCATCGAAACTGGATCTGCCAACCTTCAGCTACAAATTCATAGATCACGGCCGTTGCCGCACGTGCATGTAGATGCGGTGTTGCAGTGTTCCCTGGAGCTGCCAGCAGGAATGTTCAAAGGCTTGCGGAGGACACCGCAGATGCTGCAATTGCGGAGGCTTTCCGGTGATGAAAGAACACGTGCGAGACAAAGATCACAGTCAAGTGCAGTGGGATTCCTGTCGCACCCTGCCCGCCATGTCAGGCTGTTGCTTCACCTCCACCTGATCCGCCTGATCCGGCCAAGCCGGGTCACGGGAGTGGAGCAGAGGCAAGACAGGGCTGCAGGGTGTGCTCGCAGCTCGCATCAGAAGCACGATCAGTAATATTGTAACAGCACCCCATCGCGGGCCGACGCAACGGCCTTTCATTTCACAGTTGTGAGAGTTTCCCCAGCTCAGGAAGAATCACGAACATCACGTGAACGCATTGGAATCATGCAGTAAGACTCAGTAAGACTCATGCTGCGCGGCGCGATAGTGGAGGCTTCTGCCGATCCTGGTGCAAAGAGCCCCGGCCGAAGCGAGGTGGTTGGCAGCTGGCTTCTGCCCCTCTGAACTCCGAGTTAGAGGTGTCTCCACTGACTGCGGTAGTTAGCCGGTCTGCACAGCCTCTTGTGTGGGCTCAGGAGCAGCCGGCGCAGTGCCAAAGACAGCATTGCCCGTGACCTGCCGGCAGTCACGACTCTTCTGTGCTGCACCGGCCTGTGACCCTGGAACAACGTGACTCAGGCAGTGTTCGCCAAGCTGGTCTAGCAGACCATGAGGACAAGATTCAGGTGCGAGAAGCCTCCAGAGCTGTGGCTCATGACAAACATTCTGGCAGTGGCCTTGTCTCTTCATAGCATTGTACACCCCGAACGAGTTGCGGGATGCACAGGTGGTCCACCTTTCTGCCGTGCTGGCGGCACTGGAAATCCCCGTGCCTGGGCGCACATCGTGTGCAAAACCTTTCCTTGTAATTTGAAGACATGGCAGGATACCGCCGCGCAAAATGTACTTGCAAGTAATTTCTGCCTGCGAACAGGACATCCTTCTCTCGTAGATGTCAAACAAGCTTGTCGTTGCAACAAAAGATTATCGGGAAAGCTTTGCTGGCGTGGCCCAGGAGCAGCATGTGCAAACTTTGGCTGCTGCTTCGGGTGCCATTAAGGCCGCGGAGTTGGGAACTCACTACCTTTTGGACCCTGCGCCATGATGCGAGACACTACTTGACTACTTGGATCTACGAAGTCTAGACTGGTATCTTTCCAAGCCGGAAGCTGATCTTCTGCTTGCGATGCTTTTGTGACAGACCCTCTCTACTGGCCAGGAGGATGGAATCCACCTTTCCTCCTTCCTGGAATGGATATTTCCAGAGGAAGACAGCGAGCCGCCGCCCCCACCACCTCCAGTTGCTGCAGAGGCCGAGATCTGCACAGGGCGGTGGTTTTTGTCCCTCCCCTGTCCATGTAGCTGTTCGGGCGCACAACCAGCATGCATCCTTCACGGTCGCGCGACCCCTGTGCGCTTGCTGGACTCGGAGGCCAAGGGCTTGGAGATGGAACGAGGCTCGGGAAGCATGCTCGAACAGCTGCCTGGCAGTCCTTGGCAACTTTTCACCGGAAGCCAAGCCGTGGTTCGAAGCGGCAGGCGGTCAGGAGCCGAAGGCTTGGATTCAGGGCTCTGACTGAACGGGCTCAGCTAGGCAGAAAAATGGGCTCAGGTCGTCTGCCAGGGAGGTGCCACTCTTGTATACAAGAGTTCGGGCCACAACCGCCAGCCTAGGCTTTATTCTGGGAGCCTCACTCTTGAGGCGCACTGGGCACACAGGGGTGATGAGAGGCTAGGACGTGCTGGTTTGCTTGATATTTGCGAGTTTAGTGGTGAGAGACATGTAAAGTCTCTGTTAAAGTATCCAGTATATAAATAGCATTGAATGATTACCATGTGCATGTACAAGACTGTGAAGACAATTGCTTGCTTGGATCTACATTAATAAATCCTACGTATAAACAGACATACATACGTACGTACATACATACATGCATACATACCTACCACATCTGTCGGTATGTCGTCATCACCGGCATTATGGCTATTCGACCACTGCAAGACATGAATACTTGAGCACGCACCTACTCAAGGATTCACACCACCCTCACCACTCGTTGTAGAAATGTAGACCACAACAAACTCCACGAAGCTGCCGGTGCCATCCGGTGCCTGGATGAGATCGCGGGTAGGATGAGCAGGGCTCCTCAACAGTGCTCTCCTTGTTCGCTGAATGTTCGAGCGGGCTGCCAAGTGAATTCGTATGTGTTCGTCGAAATCGTCTTCAGTCTCCAGTGCATAGCGCCGCTGGAATGCGAGCAATGCCTCAACTGTGCCGGTGCAAAACCTCGCATATGTCAGGACACCTGGGTGCAAGCTAGCTTCATGCTCCAGCTGGACGAGTCTTGCACGATCACTAGACTCCGAGTACTGTGCCCTTGAGCCTGATGCAGAAGAAGAATCGACAACCAAGGAGCTGCTTCGGGCTCATCCGCCGCTTGGACCTGGAGTTTCAGCACAGCTGATGCGGCGACGTTCTTGTTTCGGATAAGTGGGATAGCATGGGACGAGACGTATCCGTATGATTGTGTTAAGTCCGGCTGCTGCGCATTTCTGTTGCAGCTTACACCGTTTCCTTTAGGATTCAATTGTGGTCTCCTAGTCCTACCCACTGCCACTGAAACTCATTTCTGCAACCCTGCACCTCGTAAGACGTGTCTGCTGCCATGCATGCAGGTACCTCGAGCCTGACCAAAATGCAGCGACGGTCCATCCACTCCAGTACTGGGTGACGAGGTGTTGGGAGTCAGTCGACAGAGCTTGGTGAATGAGCTTGCCCAGCTTGGAAGAAAAGTGGACAGGCTGCAATCCGATTAGCTTGGGGCCTCTCCCTCTGTTCTGACATGCGGAGGCTGTCTGTACAACTTGTCCAAGATCGCCAGCCGTTCTATTCCATGAGATCAATTCCCTGTCCCTGTGTCTACCATGTCGGTGACGTGCCCATTTGCCAACATTCGCTTTCATCGTTTGCCGCCAGAGCGCTGCGCAATTGTGTCGCTCTGCTGTGCCATGTCTTGGAGGTGTCGGGAGTCGTTTGTCAAGAAGAAGTTTGGTGACGCGCAGGAGCTGGGTTGGGCAAGCATACGGTTTTGTACAGTAGCATTCTCGTGCGTGAGTTCCGCTGCGACACTCCATGTCACTCTAGATTAATATTGACTTGCAGCCTCAGATCGCGACTGCATTGGGCAGGACTCGCTCCGGCGTTTGCTGGCAAGACCCTGGGCCGGAAATGCCACCCCAAACACAAAAATCCTTTCTGTGAAGTATTCCGCGGGCTTGCGGGCATGAAAAGGTTAGCTAGCAGCTAGGAATGAGGTAGGGAGATGCCACGGCCCGCGAGAGGAAGAGCAAGAAGACCAAGAAGGATGCAAAGAGGGAAGAGAGGGAATCCAAAAGGACAGGTAACTATTCTTCAAACCTGAGATGCTGAGCTGATGTCCAAAACCAAAGCCCTGGTTTGAGGCCTGCGCACGGACCAGCGTCAAATCGCCGAGGCCCTGAGAAAGGTTGCAAATCGCGTCAGAGGTTACGGGCTGCCTTGGGTGAGGCTCCATACAAGCTCAAGAGAATGTGCATCTGTGCTGGCGTGGCAGTCATAGTCGTTGTAAATGGGCGGGTTGTTTAATTGCCAGTGTCGCACAGTTTTCCAGTGTGGATGCGGAGTTTCCCGATATGCAGCCAAGAAGATTCAAGCGAATGATCTCTGCACACATCGATGGTCTATCCTGGATTCCTGTGTCTGATTGGTCGAGGCTTTTCGCCGCTTCGACGCCGATTCTTCTGGGCACTTGGATGCCAACGAATGCAAGAATATGTGGCCTGGCCAAAAGACCAGTGCTGCCAAATCCTCATTGCATAGGGTTTCCAGCCCAGGGCTAACACTGCATTTTCAAGGTCAAACACTGTCGAGGGCGTGGGTGAGAACTTTATTGAATCATGAAAACCCCGTAATGCCACAAAGCCGCATGCTGGCGCATGTGCTTGCAGAGTTCTCCTCCAAAAAGCATCGAGTGAAGCGGAGACACAAAATGCTTCATCAAATCAAAGCTGCCATACAAAGCAAGCCGCAGCAAGTTCAGGTGCGCCTATCTCGGTTGGGGTCTCGAGGAGGCCAGCCTCATGGATCTGGAGCCTCGCCAGCTTTTGGTGGAGCCCGAAACCCCGTGGATTCGAGGCCGAACCAGCATGTGCACCTTTGGGCTGAGGACAAAGATGGTCGCATCACTCTTGCCGACTTCCAGGGCTTTGTGGGGCGCATGGGAGGCGCTTTGGGGGGGGGGGGCTCTTCTGCACTGGTGGTGTTCCTCGCTATTCCTGCGACTGTGCGATCTTCGGTTCGCTGCTCAGACGATAAGATCGAAGACGTGCCCAAGCAGTGCCGTATCCTAGAATGCTGACAGAATTCTGTTCTTCAGAAACCAGGCATCACTTCGTGCGAGTCAAAAATGTCAAAATCAGCATGAGGAACACCCTAAGAACCTCACAGCTCCCTTATGGTCCGGACCTCCAAACTGACAAACTTCAGAACTGCAGGCGTCCAGCAGCTATTCGAGCACCGCCGTTTGCGGATCTCCTCCAGCAGAAAGGCACGAGACAGCGCACAGAAAGGCATGTCAAAGCACGTCAGAATCAATTGGGATCCGCTCGACCCATAGCATCCCATAGCTAACCGAATGCACAACCGCTCGCTCGCTCTCTCGCTCTCGCTCGCTCGCTCTCTCTTTCTCTCTCTCTTCTCTCTCTCTCTCTCTCTCTCTCTCTCTCTCTCTCTCTCTAGCTCTCTGTCTCTCGCTCGCTCGCTCTCGAGCCTCTGACCCTGCATGTACACATTCGACATAATTAATCTCGGTCTTACGGCCGTATTGTATGTGATATACAAATACATCATACATGCAGCTCGTGTTGTACATGTATGCACTTATACATATTTGGTCAGGCGCTCCGCGGCACCCCCCCTCTCCCCCCGCATGGTCCAGGGTCCAGGATGCCCCCCCCCCCTCTGTCGGTGGGGTGTGGGGTCCCTCTTCCCGCTGTGGTGTGGTTGTGGGGTTTTGGGGTTTAGGGTTTAAGGTTAAAAGTTATACAGTATTAAGTACAGGTTTAAGGTTAATAAACACAGGAACACGCCCTATGTTATAGGGTTTATAGCTTGCTTAGGGCTTGCGAAAGATCCCGGCCCTCTCTGTGACCCTGGCCGCCCCCCAATTAGTAAGTATTACTAGTAATACTAGGAAGTAGTACTATTAGACTATACTACTACTAGTAAGTACTAGTAGCAGTAGCAGTAGGAGTAGTAGTAGCAGTAGTGGCAGTAGCAGTAGGAGTAGTAGTA